CAAATAAAATGGAAAAGAATACGAGACACGGTTTACTCAAAATTCTATATATAAAAGTTGATAGCTGTTAAAAAATTATAAACGTAATGCGCCAAATTGCAATTATATGTCATCCAACAACAAAATACAACGCAATAAACGATTCTTAATCTCCGATTAATTAACCAATGTCGAATCATTTCGTGCGCTATCCTTCTCTATCTTTTCCTCTCTTCCTTTATCTTTCTCTCTCTTCTTCTCTGTTCCTCATTCTCTTATAATGCAATTCAGGCTGTGAGCTCTAGGAAGCTTCAAAAGTAAATTTCATTAAAGCAGCAGTGGGTACTTCCGTTTAATGTCGTTAGCTAAGAGAAATGAGAAATAAAAGAGCTCGAAAAAGACGACGAGACGGGTCAAATCAACGTCGAGGATTTAGAGATTAACGGCGTTAATATTTACAGACATTGACGCTGTAGTACGATGAAAAGGCTGGAGAGATAAGCAAAGGAAAGGCTAGAGAGACAGTACGATAGAAAGAGAGAGAGAGAGAAAAAGAAAAAAAGAGAAGAGAGACGGGCCGATTCTATAGATGGATAATGGGTGGCACAAAAAGATCAATAAATGTATGCACGTCCGCGCGAGTTATAAATTCGAATAAATACGCCGGTGAAGAAACTTTTTCCATCAACACGATTAATTTTGTTTTTATTCCATTCGTTCTCTCTCTCTTTCTTTCTTTATTACTTTTCGTATTTCAATCAAAAAGTCGTAGCTCCATAATAATATATACATATCTCCAGCGTATAGTTTAATGTAATAGTCAAGTATAGGATTCAATTTGAAATGCGCACGGATAAATTCAATTGAAACAAACCGATTTTGTGTGTGCCTGACCGGCTTAATTTTCTAACGGGGATTTATAATTTTTTTTTACGTGCACATTGAATTAATAAAATAGATGCATATATAGATGCGTTTTCGCGCGCGATCATATTTCGGGGAAAATAGTTTTTCCGCGCGACGAGAAAGAGCACAGTTTTTTTTTTTTTTTTACACACCATTTCCTATTATATGTAAATAATGCATTTGTCGAGGGCGGGACACCTGTCCCATTTTTTTCGGTCGACTGAATTTGATCCGTCCTGTATATAACTCACAAGCACGCACACTGTCACGTCATGCGCACGCACGATCTTGATGATTTCACACAGAGATACAGGCGTGTAAACACGTCGGATATGCGACTCCACGTAATGGGCTATGTATGCACGCACGATTACTGGATAAATTAATATAAAAAAAAAAAAATACTTAGAAAATAGCGAGATAAAAGAACTCATCTACGTGCTCCGCCTTCGCACGTATGTTTGTAATAGGAAGAATATAAATAGTTTCCGTATGCACAAGTAAACATATGTGTACATATACACAATCGCATATATATGTATGTATATCGTGATTACAAATTTAAGCGGAATTTTTTTAAATAAAGGAACAAAGAGCGTCACCAGATAAAATATTGCGCAACGAATATATAATATCTAATTATATATTATAATTTTAATTAGCGAAGACCCCTTATTATATACGGGCAAAAAAAAGGAACAATTTATGACTAAATGTAAACGCTTGTATTTGCATTATTTTAATACGATGATGTCAAAATAGAGAGATAATGAAATTTTGTCATGATATATACGTTCAAGAAAGAGAGAGGCTATATAAATATATAAAAATTTAAAACTGAAAAAAAATGATCGGAGAATCGTATGTTATAACATGCCAACGAATGTAAAAAGTCATGCTTTTTTTCGCACGATTAGCATAACAAATATTAAACGTCGCATTCGAAACGTCGCAATTTAATGTCTCCGTTTACTATGCTATGAAATGCGATATTTGAGTGTCAGTGTTGTGATATCGCTTCACGCGGAGAGCTTGGTATTCGATACAATTTCAAAAACAAAATCCACGTCTCGCGCGATTAAAGTAGCGTTAAGTAACCTTGCGCGTAAATAAAGCGCGAGAGAAACACATTTTATTACTCTCTCGGAGAGAGAGAATTGCCGCGTCATTGCGCGGATTTTAAAATATGTTTTCTATCGTCGAGTCTATATATATATATATATATATATATATATATATATATGTGCGTATGTGTGTGTGTGTATGTACGAACCGATTGTGTACTGCGCGCAGATATATATATTTCTTGTCGCCGTTCGTCCGGAAAATCGTCGATTTTTATCGCGACGTAATACGCCAATGTCGCATTTCGTCGTTCGGGGCGCATAATAATATATCAAAAATTTAATATCCTTTATACGCAGCGGCTCTCTATATTCGGTAAAATAAAAAATAAAATAAAATACTCCGAATTATTATTATTAGAAATTTTTACCGCACGCGACAAAAAAGAAAAATATAAAGGAGAAAAATACAAATTTATTTTCCATGTATTACTTTATACGTTTTTGCTTACGAAGCGATGCAGCTCGCAAATACGTGACATTATAAATGCAGCTGCGTGACCTTCCTCGCGACATTTTATTTCATCTCGCAATCCTTTCGCGAGTTAAACGTAAAAATAATTAAAGAGAAGTCTGGAAGAGGGAGGATAGAGATAGGAATAGGGAGGAAGAAGAAAAACGCGCGCGCGAATAAAATCCTATTCTGTGTGTGTATATATATATATATATACACATATATATACATACATATACATACATATATATACATACATATATATATATATATATATATATATATATATATATATATATATATATATATATATATATATATATATATATATATATATATATATATATATATATACACGCTCTTATTCGATTTTCTCGAAAAGTTTGTTTGCACAGTACGAAGAGAATCCGCGCAAATTAGACGCGCCGATATAAATCACTACCATTGTTTTCGACGCGCGAATTTTATTTCCGCGCACGGATTCGCGTTTGTACCTCCGATCGCGCAAAAGCGAGCGAAAGCAAGGACGACTTGAATCGCAGCGATCGTCTTCCACCTTGGAATTTGATTTCGTCGTAGAATTTGCGCGCGAGCGAGAGAGAGAGAGACAATTTTAGGCCCCGGCACTGTTCCATTGTTTGCGCGAGTATAACTCATATCAGCGATAAATATAGAAATTGTTTAAAAAAAAATAAAAAAAGAAAACACAGGCAATCTCTGTTTTGCATAATAGATGAGATGCATTTATCTCGGCGTCGCGAATTGAATAATATTTCACGTTATAAAAGGCAATTTAATTTTTAATTTTAAAAATTTATCGTTCACTTCCTTCCATATTTTAATTTTTCAAAAATATAATAAAAAAATACATACATATACATATATAAATTTGTGACTCATCTCACATATCACACAAACACACACATTTTCGAAATAAATAAGATATAAGACTAAATTAAATACTGAATCGTAGATATAATAATTATTCGTGATTCAGCGTTTATCGATTTAATTTTGTGAAACGTATACTTTCAATTCGCTAGAACGCGAGTGCGGGTGGGGAACTGAAGGGAAGGGGGACGAAAAGAGTTGAAACGAAGCATCATGCACGGAGGGAACGTGCCGAAAAAAAACTGCATTCTCCCCCTCCCCCGAGAAAATTCGTCACGCACGCGCACGATATATTTATATACATATACATATATATATTGTCAATGACTCTGCGTCTATTGCAAATAAATATAGCATTAACGATACGTATATTTCGCGGATATATCCGGTGTAAATAAATAGTGTACTCTCTCTCGTTATTCGTATCGAGGAAAAAAAAAAAGAAAACCGAATGTAGCAATAACAATAACACTTTCGTCACGATCAACTTTCTTCACGGACTGTACATGCCTTTTTCGACAAAGCACTGCGAAAACATTTCTTTTTTTTTTTCCTCTCATTCTCTCTCTTTTCTTTCCATCCTCGACTCTACACGCTACGATTTTATTCGCGAGATGATCTTAAAAAGCTTCGAAATTGGATTCGCATACGCAGGGTTGCACAAAATATAACATATAACGATGTTCCGCTTGTAATAACAACGTAACCGTTTATCGATTCGATTCTTGGACATGTGACGGATAATGTCGCTATCCTCTATCGTCTTTTCCTCCTTCTCCCCCCTCATTCTTATGTTCGCACAGCATTTGTCACACAAGTGAGTGATGAAATACAGCATTCCAAAAAAAAAAAAAAAAAAAAAAAAAAAAACTGATTTACAATAAAAGAGATAAGGATCCGAAAACAATGCAATTTCACATTAAATAGTCGTTAGGACAATGCGAGTCGAGTTGGCTGCGTTAAATCGGGTTAAGGCACATCTATAAATACCTCACTAACTGAGAGTGAGAGGGAAAGAGAGGGAGAATGGTATGGAGAAGAGTCGGAGCAAAAGGGACAGAGATACGAAGTATGGTAGAACAGGAGCGCGAGACAAACAGAGAAAGATACAGAGAGAGAGAGAGAAAGTATCAAGCCAACAGAGAGGGAGTAAAAGGCAGTATCGGTAAGAGACGCGCGAGTGCGAGATAAAGACGAAAATGAAACAGAGATGAACAGATATACACGATGATGGCTCGAAGAAAAGAGAGGAAAAAAAAAGAAAGAGAAAGAAAACTAGTTTATCTAATAGTATAGCACATCGAAGATATATACAATGATATATTCGTTGCCAGATGTCTAACTACACGATAATCTCCCCACCATTCGCCTACCCCTTCCTCCCACTCGTCACCACGCTGTCACTTCTGCATTACAATCGAGCGAATATTCAGCGAGGTAAATCTGACGGTTACATGGAAGGGGGAGGGATGTTGAAATGAGAAAAGGCGGGGGAGGGAAATAGAAACGCGCGGTGATTAAAGAGAAAAATATAAGACAGCGTTAAAGAGCGCGAGATTTGTTTATGGCGCGACGAAAGGGTTGTTCAAAAAATTGACGCTTCTAAAAAGCCCGGGTTTTTTAATTCGCGCGAATATTTCTCTCACCTCTATCTTTTCCATTTCTTTGCCGCACGAATGTCACTCACTATTCCCACAGTCATCTAGAATCCCTTGGCGCACACACACACTGACGTGCACACATAGCGCGCGGGTTATGTATTATCGCGAGCAGCTTGACTCGCGAGAGCGCGGTGTGCGTGTATCGGAACGATATAGGTTTGACGCGCGCGGACCAGCGACTCACGGTGCGGCGCACGCCGCTGTCCCATCAAGACTACTTTGTATTTACTCTAATTATGTGACGTCACGGATACACTGCTCGCCCCACCGCTCGGCCGGCGGAGGCGACCGAGCGCCGCCGAGCGCGCCCGAGTCCGCCCGAAGCCGCGGCGACGGCGCACATGGCGCGGCAGCTCGGCTCGCCGACCAGTCACCTGGCGTTTCTCCTCGCATTCTCATCGTGGCGGCCGTTCGCGACGGACGTCGTCCGGCCGTCCGGCTTCTTCATGCGGCGTAGGAAATCCGCGAGAACCGAATTCGCGATGACAGATCGAGAGCGATATATGTATTCCGCGATGTATCTTCGTATCGCCGGAAATTGTGCGACGTGTGAAAGAATCGTGTGCTGCTACGAATGACGATAAACACTTTTAACATGGTGGCGATGAGGCCCGATTCTTCAAGACTTTCCGTGACACGTTCAGTGAGTGAATGTCGTATCGTTTCCTACACACTTTGTGTGCGGATATGCTTAATATAGATTCCTATATCGTTTATTATGTCTCGCATTTGTATTCACGAAAGTTGGCGTGATGATACAAACTTTGTCACGAGGCAGGAAATTTGTCCGTAGACTTTCTTTGGTACAAATATTTCGGAATTCTATGAAATTCGTGTAAGAAATAAATCAAATTGCGATTAGAAATTATAATATAAAATAACGCGTTATAAATTTTTATATCGAACAGATTTGAAATACTAGTAAGTGTAGCAAGTGATTTACTCATTTATTGTTATGCTCTTTCTGGATTGAGAAAATATATAAAAAAAATTTATAAACTGTTTCTTTTATTTTTATTACTTATATTAAATACTAATTAATGCGGGGGTAGTAGTTTTGCAAACTAAAAGAAATATACGTATTAATGTGAAACAGCATGTGTGAATTGTTTATTTTATCAAAATCGAAAAGTTAAAATTTAAAAAACTTTGACTTTTTTCCAAAGCAAAGTATGTTAAGTTTAAGTCATAATAATCAAATTATTATTATAACAATTAAGTCGCTTTGTGTTTATTACAGTGCCGGAATTCCTGTTTGATCTGTTAGTTAATTCCTTTACAAAAAAGAAAAAAAATTATTTTTAGAAGACTTTAATATTGTTTATAAAAATCTTATAAAATCTAGAGAAAAAAGTAAAAATGTGTCAATTTGTTTGAGTTGAATTAATTAGTTGAATCGCTTATCAAGAACGTTCTTCTGCTAAGCAACTTATTTAACTGAATTGATAATGTTTGCAAGATAAATTAACATCCTGTGCAGAAAATACACCATGTGTTCACTGTTTGCAAATAAATATGAGATATGAATAAATGTGTGGCAGTCAAATGCATAATAAACGACACTATCGTTAAAAAATCATATTTGTTTGTCCCATTTATTATCCAAAGCTCTTTTATATCCAATTTCCAATATTATCCATTTCTCATAAAACTACGGATTCTTCGCACATTATGGTTTCCTCTCGCTCACAGATTTTATATATATGTATATATACACACATATATACATATATATAATACACACATGTGTCGCCCGCTGTGATCGAGTCAACAAAAAAAAAAGGATTTTACGTCATCAAACTTTCTTCTCTCCCTAATCGCTCTGTAATAACAAATATGAATATTTGAAATATTTTACATCTTACATAATTATTTCGGTTTCCGTGTAACTTTCGTAAGGATCAAGGTTTAATTTTGCGTTTTGTTCTCTAGACAAAAAGTTCTTTTTTGTTGCAATAGAAAGCAACGTGCACACAAAGAAAGAAAGAGAGAGAAAGAGAGAGGAAGAATAATATTATATATATATATATTATATTTACATACGTATCAGATGCCTCTTCAGGCAGATTTTTAAGTTTTTCTTTTTAGGCCTAATTCGCGAGACACTGATTTAACACAGCGCTAGGATTAGCGTTACTACGTACAGGCTGGTATAGTGTTGTAATAAGTTCGTTGTTCTTTCGCGCTTTTTAATGATACCCGCGATTTTTTCCATCGCGATAGTTTGACAGAGTGGGGCCAAAACAAATCTTTGAAAATATCTTCGGAAGCAAAAGATTATTTTAAATATAGTTTTTATCAAATAATGTTATTGTGCGCAAAAGAATCTCTCATGTCACATACAGAGGAAATAAACTTATTTATAGATATTTGAAGCTGAATGATGTGTAAGATTTGCTTATTTAAATCTATGCAATGAAGATGCAGATGTAGTAAGAGCCATTGTGAAAAATTCAACTGTGCAATACGTATATATGTATATATATATATCTTGTTTAACGATGGAACGATAATTATCATCGTCTACTCGTTTTACCACCGTGATATAAAGTTAGATATTGCAACGCTTTAAAGAATATACTCTAACACCACAATTGTACAAGAATTCTTTTATTTTTTAATTTCGCGATATTCATCAGAAGTTTCATCAAGCGAAAGGCTTCACTCTTTTTTACGTGAAATTGCACTTGAGACAAGATATAAACATCTCTATCACATTTTTAATTGACATAATTAATTATGATTGAAGTTCTTGAATTTTTCACAATGGTCGAACCCTTCTTCAAATCATATTTCAAAGATTTACATGTAAATTAAAAATATCAAACTGCCTAAATTCTTAAACTCATAATTTTGAGAGATCAGGAAATGCTAGAACTTTTTGCACGCTAATTTGATTTATTTTCATTGATATCTTAGAAAAACCGAATAAAACTGAATAATTACGAAAATAGATGCTGCATTGAAAAAAATTATTAAATTAATAAATATTTATTTCCATACTGCCTGATAAATTATTTGAAACAAATAAATATTTATCTGTTGTAAAAAGGATTTTCATATAACAAATAAATATTTTTCACATCAAATGATTATTAGTTTCAAATAAATGATTTATTAGGCAGTATTGAAATAAATATTTATTCGAATTCAATTGTTTTCAATATGTATATATGTATATGTGTTATATGTTAATATCGCGAATCGTCACAGACTGAGTTCGAGTGATTGTTTGTGCCTATTTACGTGACGCGGAATACCGAATAAACTCTCTCTTTGTCCGATTAAAATCGAATTCGAGATAATGTGACACGCAAAAGGTATATGGATTTGATCAAATTCTAGCGCATCGTTAACAACGACTGATCCTTGCTTAGACTAGACTTGGTACCACGACCAGAATGTAAATTGGGATTGGGTAAAGTATCACAGCTGGCCCCCGATATAATATTAAAAATGAAAGATTGAACGAAGAATTTTTTTTGAATGGAGGAAGGGAGGGAAGGGGGCCTTAAAAGAGTCACGCGGTCGTTTCGACTCCGTCCGTTCAGAACCGAATTTCTTACACATTACCCGTCTTATTATTGTTGATAAGTCATCTATGAAACGTAGAAAAAATTATACAAATAGTAGAGCTATCTAAGATCTCGAGGTCCTCGATGGACGGAGCTGAACCGACCAAACTCCCTTTTTGCGCGGTATTTATATCATATATCCGTCATATATATCATATAATTGTTATTATATGTATTAATAATAATAATATTAATCATGCTACTCTCTTGTCATCATTAATATTATCATTATTATTAACTCGCACGCTAAGGTAATCGCTGTGACGGTGCATAAAACCCGCAGAAAATTGCGAAGCAAAGCGTTTCTTTCTATAACGGAATTATAAGGATTCCGCGTATGGTACATAAGTAATTTTATATATTTAATTATAACCGAGATAATTGTATTTTTATTTCTACAATCTATTAATCATGAAATGTGTGTAACGTGGTGTACATAAATTCAAGAATATAAAATATTGGCGGGGACGTATTTCTTTTTTATCAAAAAGAGCTTATCCAGAACTTGTATCTGCATGATTTCACCGACACAGCAAATTACTTTTATTAAATTGAGGAAAGCGTGTCGAGATCGCACGAGGCTTCGTCATTTCTCTCGAAATTCTACTTTATACATGAAAATTATAATCACAGCTTGAATCACCTCGCAGACTTTGCACATTTTGAGGAAAATTAACGCGTTCTATATTTTTACTGTCGATTTAGACTTACTTAAATTCAATGGAATATATAAGCCTAGACCAACAGAGTCTCATTTATTTATATAACTTAAGTGTAACACTAGAAATCAATACATGTAAACAGTTTTACGAGTTGTAAAACTCGGTAAACATTGTAGAACACTAAAATACGAAATACTTCCAATAAATACATATCATGCACCTTACATGTACAATACATATTTTTTTATTGATAAATAATTGTGGCGTAAAGTAAGCGAGGAACACACGTGGAAAAACGCGTAAATGGCCAACCGCGTTACATTGTGAGACTTAAATTTTAATTTTAATTTATTTAGAAATATATTTGTGAATATACTTGAATATATATATATATATTTTTTATATATATATTAAGACGCGTTTTCTTGGACACTTCTAGAATAAATTACTGATATCGCGGGGGTATTTCTTTTTCAAATTATATTTACCAACGTAATAAGATTGATTCTCGCATAGACTTTAATGAGATATATAACATTAAGAACTCAAAGATAAAAACGTAGCTATTATATCCAATACCTGAGATTTTCACGACGTTAGTTTTGGAAAGAGTCTGATATGAGGAATCATACGAGGAATTTTGATTCTTCGTACGTATAATATTGAAGCCTCGCACGAACGCGGTGCGTAATATCGAAATTTCTTAAAATATTCTCTATCTCTGACTCTTTCGTTTTTATCGCTCGAAGAAAGTAGCTCTTCGCGCACATGATATACACCCACATTAATCGCATTATAATATATGAGAACTGAAAACTCTCGTTCGATACTATATTTCTCACTTCATAAAATTTCTGTTTTTAATTAATCTCTTCGATAATAATTCAAAAATATAATGTGTTATATTATTCACTATACGTCATTGTCTTGAATATGATTCGTACTAATTATCATTAGTTTATGGACGTTTATTTCTATCGAACTAAATACAGATTCAAGTAGCTGTTAGAAAAGATATACAGATATATAAGTATTTGCATATCATTCCTAAGAGAACTTTACGATTTGCTTCCTTACGCGATTTACCTAAATATTTCGCTGTTTATCAAGGTTCCGTGCGGCGAAGAGCTCGTCTTCGAGCAAACAAAACGTGAATTATGGACCGTCGCGTCTAATCGTTTATAAACGTTCCCTATATAAGTTTATTCGTCGCCATTGCAGTCGCAAGAGCCGTTAACTTCCACAACTTCCGATACATCTTCAGCTACCGTACCGTTGTCCTCCGCAGTGTTTATCCTCTCTTCAGCCTGTTCCTCGATGGTTTCAAGAAGTTCTTTTTCGTTGGTGTCTTCCTCCTCACCTTCTATCCCTTCTTCAGACTTGTCGACGATCGACTCGTCCTCTGAAATTCCCGTAAGTTCTCGTATCGTCTCTTCGCTCTCTTCCTGCTCGCGCAGAGCCGTTATCACTCTTTGCTCGATTGTGAGCTGCCTGACAGCGTTCTCCAAATTATCTCTAAGAATATTTGAGTCACTCTCGCTCTCTTGCCACGTGAAAGGCATAAAAATCATTCGAACGAGTTGATAAAGCCGCCTGAAGCCCAGCTTCTTGTACAAACTTTGGCTAGCTTCATTTTCTGGACGTATCACTACAAACGGATAATACCCCCTCTCGGCTACGCGTTTTGTCAGGTACCTGAAATTTCAAACACACGCTCATTTCATCATTCCAACTTTAGCACATAAATAGTACGTACAATACAATTTTTATTCTATTAATAATTATTATAATTTTATTATACATATACATACAGTACCTTCCGCAAATTTAGAAACACCTTACAATATAAAAAGGTCACTTAATTATCTCACGATATATTTATACCAAGAATCTGCACAGATCGCTGCCATGCAACTGTTTAACTGTAAAATGTAAGGTGTTTCTAAACTTGTGTGGAGGGTACTATGTATATGTTGAGTACAGCTAGAGCTTGATATTTATAAGAAGTAAAGTAAAGTCACAACACACCGTGAACTTTTCAAGTCGTTATCATTAATTGCACGTGTACGAACGTTGTTATTAAGGCTCACGGAATTTACGTACCTTGCTAATTTCGTCCCATAACCTTTCCTACGATATTCCGGCTTGGTTTGCATGGAGAACATGGCCCCGTAATAGGATTGAACCATCCAAGCAGCCAAGCTGCCCTTCGCGAACACGCCCGCCGCTGGTAATGTCCTAATGAGTCGGAGGAAGATCTCGTGGCACTCCATGTCGTTCGCCGGATATAATTCGTGTATTCCTTCAGCGTGCTCGGTCTTGAGAGGCAGCACCTCGACGTCGGGATCAGGCATCTCCTGACTCTGTTTCTCTTCCTCGACGACATCACACGCGCAGACATCACCCACGACCGTTTCGATGGTACCAGTACCTTCGTAAAGACGCGTCAACTCCTCAGCGATACCGCAGTGAACGAAATTAATGTACAAAGGTCTCGACCAGTCTATCAAAATGTCCTCCTCTCGGAGAAGGCGAAGCAGCTCGAGCCGATCATTCGGACAGAAGACACCGACGCTCTCGTACACCAAACCGTTTGGCTGAAAGCACAGCGGAAGACGCGATTAAAATACTTATAATTAGAGATAGAATCAAGTTCAATATCTACTTTGAAATCCGAAGTCGAATTCAATAATTAAGTTCATTTTCTACGCTGAAAACAATTTATTGAATTCGAATAAATATTTATTTCAATACTATGCCAAATAAATCATTTATTGGAGTCTAATATTGATTTGATGTGAAAAATATTTTTTTGATATAAGAAAATTCTTTTCAAAACAGATAAATATTTATTTGTTTCAAATAAATGATTTATTAGGCAGTATTGAAATAAATATTTATTAATTTAATAATTTTTTTTCCAGTGTAGTGTTCGAATAATAAAGAAATAATAAATTTCATATGTTGTGCTTGCAAAGTAATCGGATCTAGAAAAGTTACACATCGAAGTTTAACATTAATTTTGCAAATAAATTCGAACTACCTACTTGTAAAATACTTAATCCCATCGCTATCTGTATAGTATGTCTAGCGTTATAAGAAAAATATACGTCGTGAACGAAGAACGACTTGGTGATCTGTAAAACTTTTACGAGTTGTTTATGACTGCAGTAGCTGTCTTTTTCACACGTGGCATTTTCTGGGATCTAGGAGAGCTTAGAAATAGATTCGAGACGTGTTAGCGACACATGTTTTGTATTGAACGTTCATACTCAGAATCGAAGTGTGTTTACGTTTGTGTCGAAATATACTCGCGTTTAATAGTAGTCGCTTAACACGCAGATTAACGCAGACGGGCGCTAAATGTCAAAGGATACATCGTAATTCTTCGGTAGCACGTTGTTATTTGTGAAAAATAGTGTGTTATGTACGCGAACGTAATAATCAACAGCCATTGAATTTATGGCACTGCGGAAGTGGTAATTAACTAAAGAGCACACAAGCAAAATCATTTTGGAGGATTGGTATTAGGTGAATCGTATCAACGACGACAACGAGAGAAAAGTCTGGCAAATAGCCAAACCTATAGAATATGGGCCAACCTTTTGGCCCATTCTGCATTGAGAAACGACGCTCCTGGAATGAGTTTCCAGTAGTTTGGCAAGAATTTTTTGCGGCAAGCAATACTTTTTTTTTATTATACGTAGCATATGCAACCATCCGTCAATGGAGAAATTGCATTTCTATGTTGACTCTAGTTCACTCAGGCTCGCTTTTTTCAATCTGTTACGTATATATCTCATTACGAGAAAATAGATTATGCAAGGTGTAATAAAAAATGTGAATTGCTACATCAGGAGCGTATTCTATTTATCGAAATGAGCAAAAAAGTTTTCAAAAATAATTATTTTGAAATATGTAGATTATTTTCTGCTTTGTATTATTTATATTGGAAATAAAATAATATAGCTTGTAATTATCTTAAGTTTTACCTAAATATGTCTAAGTGAAAACAACAAATTTTTTATTATATGATTATATGAATTTTATTTATACATTTCAATGATTCAAAGTTTTTGTGGCAAGCAATACTTTTTTTTATTATACACGACATGCAACCATCCATCAATGGAGAAATTGCATTTCTATGTTGACTCTAGTTCACTCAGGCTCGCTTTTTTCAATCTGTTACGTCTTACATATATATCTCGTTACGAAAGAATAGATGATGTAGGATGTAATAAAAAATGTGAGCCGCTACTTCAGGAGCTATTCTATTTATTGAAATGAGCAAAAAAGTTTATATAAATATGTGTTCAAAAATGATTATTTTAAAATATGTGAATTATTTTTTGCGTTGTATTGGAAATAAAATAATACGTCTTGTAATTATTTTAAGTTTTCATAAATATATGTTAAATGTAAAAATGACGAATTTTTGGACATATTATATATGAATTTTATTGATACATTTCGATGATTAGAATACGTTCCTGAAGTAATGGCCCGCATTTTTGTCATACCTTTGCAGAAAACACGTTATACAAATGACAAGTGTGAAATAAGTTAGATTAGATAAGTTTGAGGTAGAACAACCTTTTGGATATAATTAAGGAAATAAGAAAACGGGAATCTGTTACCGCAAGAAACATAATGTCGTTAGAAATTAGGACTTTTTGTTTAAGATTGCTAACTTCTTCCATAATCTTAAATCATAATATACATTTATTTTATACTTACAGATAACGTCATTCCGGGGAAATGTAAGCAGATTGCATCTTCAGGCCAATCATTGGCCACGTAGAAATGGAATTCCCAAACTCTATCTCGCATGTAAGTTAGTACGGTTTGATGAAACTGTAAGAAATTTACAATATTAACGAAAGATATCCTTTCTTTTTACATTAATAATATAATAAATATTAATTACTAGAATATAAATGACTACGTTTATATTCAATTTAATATAATATAAAAAAGCGCAGACTTATTTATTTATTCTTTATAACTATACGTAGAATGAAAGAGAAAGAGGAAAAGAGAGAGAGAGTGGCATTTATATTGATTGTGAGATGAATAGAAGGGTTTTTTTGTAGACTCATATATCAATTTTACTCGTAGAGAAATAAAAGGGTAGATATTCTTTAAAGCATTCAAAGGAGAAAGGAAGGGAAAGGGTTTGGTCGAAGGCACAATATCTGCTCCGTTGAACCTTATAATGTAATCATTTAAAAAAATTTATTGTAAAGATCTCCTATTGTAAAGGAAATATTATTTTGTTTTAATCAAAAACTTGATACATTTGTTTGTAAATCTATAGAAAAAGATTAGATTTTATTACAATTGAAACTAATTTAAAATGTTAAATTATTGCTATACGTATTTATGTCATATTTTTGATTGGATGAAAATAAGGAGCAAAACAAAGCATGCATACAAATCACTCCCAAAAATAGCATAATAGAACACAAGTAGTGTATGTTAATGCAGTTTAGATAGGAGAGATCGATAAAAGCAATTGCACTTTTGCACGATAGCTTCCTTTGGCTTTTTGAATTATCAAGTTGACGTCAAGCCATACAATAATAATGAAAAAAACAGTATATTTAAGGAACTGTAACAAAAGAAAAGACCGTAAAAGCCGTAGAATTTTGATTATCCAATAACATGAGATATGCATAAACGCGAACCATCGATCGTATTATATGGCTCATATATCCAAAGTAACGTTTGCGCTTAAATCATTTTAAGAACCGTAAACAAACCGCAAAGGTTAACAGTGATATGGTAATCATGCCGCAGATCATTGCACGAAGTCGTTACTTCATCCATATCGCGAGTATAAAGAAATTTATGCTAAGTTATCTCAAAACTTGCCGCTGGTGAGAATTTCATCAACCTCAGAGAGAATGGGAGAATCCTAATGTAATATATTATAATTTATGTACAATCAGTGTTGTAGCTTAAATGATTTTAAAATTAGCTAGATAAAGATGAGATGAAAATATGTAAATTTATCTTAGATAAGATAAAGATAATTTTGTTTTAATTATATCTAGATAAAAGATCAAATTATATGACGATGGTTCATCTAGATAACTTTGAGATAATATTAATTTCAAGACCACTTATGTAAACACAGTTATAAAAAAATGTAAATTATAAAAAGAATATAAAAATATATTCATGCTTTTATTTATAAGTTTCTATCACTTACTACTTAAATTTTACTAATTCAATATTTTGATGTGCTGTGACTCTAAACCAAATGATCTGAGTAACACTTTTTTTCATCTTGATCAAGATGCAGATATAAAAAATAATATACATATTTTTATGATCTATATAAAGATAAGATGACGCCAAAATTGTATCTAGATGATCATCTATACAATTTTATTTAGATAACAGCAAACATTGATGTACGCGATATATAATGAAAAAATTCTCGTCTCAATTTTAGCGAAGATTACTAAACTCTGTCACGTCATTTTACGCTTCGAGTTACTCTGGATCATCGTATAATACATCGAAGCCCGGTTTTCTTTGCTTGCTCTGGCGTATCCTCTGACTTAGAACATTGCTTAGATTTCCATCTCATCGATACGTCGCCTTCCTCGCATCGCCATTTACCCCGGTGAATAAATTCCCGGCTCGTGCTTAGCTCGCATACTTTTCGTCGGGATTGTTAAAGGTGATGGAGCTCTCTCTCTCTCTCTCACTCTCCCTCGCATACATATCGCGCCTCGCGATTTTCGCGTGCCATTATTGATATATGCGCGACATTGCATGCGTCCGATATATACACGCGATTTTATAAACCGCATAGCTTTTAGAGAGCCGCGAAAATGATCCGGAAGAGTTAACGGCAACGTGCTGTATAAACATCGTTAGATCGAGTCGTGCACGAAGAGGATTGTGCGCAGGCCCCTGCAGTTTATCTCGGAATAAACCGCAGACACATACCGGTTCCTACAACCCAGCGGCGAAAAGGTGTTCGGGGGTCAAGGTCGTATCCTGACGCACACGTAATGCTGTGCTACACCCTGCTTTTTCGTCGCGAGCACATGTAGCAGGCACATGTAATCGATGCACTTTGCATGCGCCGTATCGTCAGAGTTTACCGATGACTGATCGTCACAACAATAATACACGCCCGTGATCGCAGCGACGATGTTTTCTCTGCAGCTTTTACACATCCCTTATCTCTTTCTCGAATGTACCACATATGTGTGTATATATATATATATATATATGAATATACGTCCACCTACGTATGTCTGCCTGTTTTTCTATAAATAATTTGTTAGGCGAATCGCCGATTGGTTTCTGCTTTCATGTAACTCTCTTTCTCTCCGGGAGGCGCGAGACCATCGGGGAGAAAAGCCTGACAGCCTGTTCGATGTTCGATTGAACTATATATATATATATTTCGCTCTCTTTGTAGGGCACAACTGTGTGTACGGCGATTGAAAAGCGAACGCGACCTTTCACATTGAAAAACAACCTAACTTAATCCGATCCAACCTAACTTGATCTAATCCAACCTAATCTAACTTCCCCGTCCTATCCGTGAGACGAAAATATATATCTCGTGGAGGATTTATAGCGTGACCGTTTATATAATCGAATCAATAAATTGGTAATACGAATCATCTTCGTCTCTCTAAGGGACGATCGCATGATATCGAGGCTTTTTATTTCCAAGATGTATGATTTCGATTTTGATTAATATAAGCTCGCGAAACGTCGACTCGTGTGTTCACGATTATTGACATTGATAATGGCAGATTTCTCTTCACCGGAAGGAGAAACTCTGTATTAATACCCCGTAGTCGTGCGCGAGGTCACGAGATCGGCACTGCGGCGATTTGCGAGTAACATGACCGCGACGTGTGCAAGCAACGACCCTGGCCTTGATTCTGGTGTACACGTGCTTTTTCTTCTTCTTCTTTTTTTATTCAAGTAGCGTGGTTGCGCGTCATAATGTTGATTCATTTAAAAAACAGAGAATGAACAGCTCTTGTAATTGACGTTTTTCGTCCGGCAGTCAGATTAGAACGAAATTATATAGATGAGTGAAAAAGGAGAGAGGGGAAATAGTGAATTATTTCAATACCCTGTGAAATGTTCAACTGATGATTTTAATAAAATAATTTTTAAAAATATCTATCCATTTCATAAAATAATTTACGTTCTATCGAATTTAAACACCGAGCGAATTTAAAAATTAATAAAAAAATAAAGAGTTTTGTATTATAATTCCGCAGCTTGTTACCATAATTTAATTGAGAACAATGTTGATATTTATGCTGAAGCGTGAAGAAATGGAAACGGGAATAAAGCTGAAAGCAAGTGTATGCAATTATTTATATCGATCCATTAAATATATGCTCTTGGTAGTTGCATAGAATAAAAGGTTAAATATATATATATATTATATATATCTTTCTTACACACCAAACTGGCTTTTCTCAATAAAGAGATTTTTTGTCATTAAAATAATTTCATACTTTTTGCGATTGAAATAAAAAACAGATTCGTTTGATAAGTTAATTATTTAAAGCATTTAAACGCGATTTAGCATTTAAATCGCTTGCTACACTACTGTCCATAATAATAATGGCCTACAAGCAATTCAATAAATAATTCAATATTAAATTCAATAATAAATTCACTATATAATTATTGATCACTCCGGCATTGTGCAAGAATCGATCGAGTTTCACAAATATTTGAGCATCATTTCTATATTCGACGTATTACTTTCACCACAAAAAGATTCGCGGTATATGACGTGTATATATACACATACATATATTGTGTACGGGGGTGCGCAATTTTAACCCTTACTTTTTACAACCATCGGCACTTGAACTAGGTTACGATGC